GGATTGTTTATTCTGTACCATTGCTGTTTGTCCTTTGTTTTGTTTTGTTTTATTTTTGTTTTGAGATCGAGTTTCGCTCTTGTTGCCCAGGCTGGACTGCAATGGCAAGATCTCAGCTCACTGCAACCTCTGCCTCCTGGGTTCAAGCTATTCTCCTGCCTCAGCCTCCTAAGTAGCTGGGATTACAGGTGTGTGCCATCATGTCTGGCTAATTTTTTTTGTACTTTTAGTAGAGGCAGGTTTTCACCATGTTAGCCGGGCTGGTCTTGAACTCCTGACCTCAGATGATCTGCCCACCTTGGCCTCCCAAAGTGCTGGAATTGCAGGTGTGAGCCACCATGCCTGACCTGGATTTGTCCATTTTTATATCAATAGTATTTTGATTACAGTGTCTTTATAGTAAATATAACTATTAATAAGAGATTCCCTACTCACTCTGTGTCCCATTACAAGAGTAGTTGCTAGGCTGGGTGCAGTGGCTCATGCCTGTAATCCCAGCATGTTGGGAGGCTGAGGTGGGAGGATTGCTTGAGCCTGGGAGTTCCAGACCAGTCTGGACAACATGATGAAGCTCTGTCTCTACAAAAAATACAAAAATTAGCTGGGCACGATGGTGCATGCCTGTGGTCCCAGCTACTTGGGAGGCTGAGGAGGAAGGATCACCTGAGCCCAGGGAAGTTAAGGCTGCAATAAGACATGATCACACCACTGCACTGCAGCCCGGGTAACGGAGTGAGACCCTGTCTCATAAAAAAAAAAACAAAACAAAACCAAAAAAAAAACTGCTATAATTGATACTTTTTTTTTTTTTTTTTTTCCTGAGACGGGGTCTCGCTCTGTCACCCAGGCTGGACTACAGTGGCAAGATCTCAGCTCACTGCAACCTCCGCGCCTCCTGGGTTCAAGTGATTCTCCTGCCTCAGCCTTCTGAGTAGCTGAGACTACAGGCATGTGCCACCATGGCCGGCTAATTTTTTTGTATTTTTAGTAGAGATGGAGTTTCACCATGTTGGTCAGGCTGGTCTCAAACTTCTGACCTCAAATGATCTGCCAGCCTTGGCCGTAATTGATACTCTTTAACATTATTTTGGTAGTCCTTGCCAAAGCAAAAAGGAAATAAGATGTATATTTTACAAAAGGAGAAATCATCATTATTTGCCAAAGCTGTGATTGTCTGCTTAGGAAATACAAGATAGTTGAGATATTGTTTGGATGAATAAGTAGGTGTAACCAGGTAACCACATACAAGTCTAGCATCCAAAAGAACAACAGCTTTCCCAGGCAAGAGTGGATCCATCAGGATCCCCTAGTCAGAAATACAGTGACCACCCTTTTGACAGAATTTAATTCAGGGACTTGATGACACAGGTGACAGATGAATAACAGAAATAGGAACCAGCAAGGAAAAATTAGAGGGAGCAGCTGCCTGGGAGTAGGCCTGAGGAACAAAAGGAAGAGGCCAACTCATCAAGGTAGGCATTAGCTCCACCTGGATCTTTCCCGTCACATTCCCTCTGGTGCCATCTGGCCACTACAATGGTCAGCTCCCCCTGCAGAGCTCCTGCTGCTTGGGGACCACTTGGGTGGACCAGGTGTTACCGTCAGAGCAGTGCCACAGAGCTGTTGCTAAGAGCCACGTGTTCTCAAGGTACTAGTTTTCTTGTTTACATTCCTCTATAATGTAGTCTAGCCTTATAACCTTGGACGCACATAATTCCTGTGTCTTATTAAATTCAAGAACTCTTTCATCAGGTTAGACTTCCAGGATATCTACGTGAATTTCCATAAAGGAGAAGCAATCACACCACAGGAAGATTTTCTCTTTCTTTTTTTTTGAGACAGAGTCTCGCTTTGTCACCCAGGCTGGAGCACAGTGGCACGACCTCGGCTCACTGTAACCTCCGCCTCCCAGGTTCCAGCGATTCTCCTGCTTCAGCCTCCTGAGTAGCTGGGACTACAGGCATGTGCCACCAAGTCTCGCTAATCTTTGTATTTTTAGTAGATACAGGGTTTCACCATGTTGGCTAGACTTTTTTTTTTTTTTTTTGCATGTGTGTGTGTGTGTTTTGAGATGGAGTTTCACTCTTGTTGCCCAGGATGGAGAGCAATGGTGTGATCTAGGTTCACTGCAACCTCTGCCTTCCAGGTTCAAGCGATTCTCTTGTCTCAGCCTCCCAAGTAGCTGGGATTACAGGCATGCGCCACCACGCCTGGCTAATTTGGTATTTTTAGTAGAGACGGGGTTTCTTCATGTTGGTCTGGCTGGTCTTGAACTCCTGACCTCAGGTGATCCACCCACCTCCACCTCCCAAAGTGCTGGGATTACAACTGTTAGCCACCGAGACCGGCCCTTTCTTTTTCTTTCTTTTTTTGAGGCATGGTCTTGCTCTTGTCGCCCAGGCTGGAGTGCAATGGTGTGATCTCGGCTCACTGCAACCTCTGCCTCCCGGGTTCAAGCAATTCTTCTGCCTCAGCCTCCCGAGTAGCTGAGACTACAGGCATGTGCCACTACGCCCAGCTAATTTTTGTGTTTTTAGTAGAGACAGGGTTTTATCATGTTGGCCAGGCTAGTCTCAAACTCTTGACCTCAAGTGATCTGCCTGTCTCAGCCTCCCAAAGTGCTGGGATTACAGGCATGATTTTTTTGATACAAAGTCTTGCTCTGTCGCTCAGGCTGAAGTGCAGTGGCCTGACCTCTGCTTGCTGCAACCTCCACCTCCCGGGTTCAAGCGATTCTCCTGCCTCAGCCTCCCAAGTAGCTGGAATTACAGGCACCTGCCACCAGGCCCAGCTAATTTTTTGTATTTTTAGAAGAGACGGGTTTCACTGTGTTAACCAGGATGGTCTCGAACTCCTGACCTTGTGATATGCCCGCTTCGGCCTCCCAAAGTGCTGGGATTACAGGCGTGAGCCACCGTGCCCGGCTAAACTAGGTAATTTTTAGGGAACAAGTCTCTTGCCTGGTGTGTGGGTGTGATATTATGATATCTGTCTAATGGTTTTCACCCACAGTTCCTGGCTTATAACTCCCATATCCCTTGTTATAATGTTGGGGCACTTAGGCCTCAGAGGCAAGACTCAGACAACAGAATCTCTCTCTTTGACCTTTTCCCACCCTCCTTTTTCTCCCCAAGGCAGGACTTTTCCCCTGCCTTTGTTGTCTTAGAGATAGCCATAAAGAAGGCCAGGCATGGTGGCTCACGCCTGTAATCCTGGCACTTTGAGAGGCTGAGGCAGGCGGATCACCTGAGGTCAGGAGTTTGAGACCAGCCTGGTCAACATGATGAAACCCCATCTCTACGAAAAATACAAAATTAGCCGGGCGTGGTGACACATGCCTGTAATCCCAGCTACTCAGGAGGCTGAGGAAGGAGAATTGCTTGAACCTGGGAGGCGGAGGTTGCAGTGAGCCGAGATCGCGCCATCGCATTCCAGCCTGGGTGACAGAGCGAGACTCTGTCTCAAAAAAAAAAAGAGAGAGAGATAGCCATAAATAAATTCTCTGACCTACCTTGTCTGACTGCAGGTCATGCCTGGGGTCCCTCAGTTCCCCCCTGTCCCCTGCTATCTTTCTGTGTCCTGACCAAAAATCAGAGGGCCTTGGCTACTCTTGTGGCCCAGGAGCTACAGGATCGTCCCAGCAGGCTTGAACCCAAACTGGGGCCTTGGCATCGCTAGACACTGACTGAGGTATCTAGGTTTACTAATTTTTCTTTTCTTTTTTTTTTTTGAGACGGAGTCTCGCTGTGTCTCCCAGGCTGGAGTGCGGTGGCGCGATCTCGGCTCACTGCAAGCTCCGCCTCCCGGGTTCACGCCATTCTCCCGACTCAGCCTCCCAAGTAGCTGGGACTACAGGCGCCCGCCACCTCGCCCGGCTAATTTTTTGTATTTTTAGTAGAGACAGGGTTTCACCGTGTTAGCCAGGATGGTCTCGATCTCCTGACCTCGTGATCCACCCGCCTCGGCCTCCCAAAGTGCTGGGATTACAGGCTTGAGCCACCGCGCCCGGCCCTAATTTTTCATAAAAAGTGTCAAGTCCTCTAGGGACAGACTCAGCCCTCAGTCTCATCGCACACCTGTGAACCTTGGCCTTTTGCAGTGTGCGGATGGGGGAGTGCCTAGATGTAAAGAGGCAGGTTCAGCTGGGCCCAGCAACTTGGCCATCCCACATGGCCCTGCGCACCCGTGCTCTTGGGATGGTGGTACCACTGTGTCAAGCACTGGCCTGGGAAAGAGCAGCCATTTGGTGGCCCCATAACAAGAGCCACCGCACAGGTTGGGGTGACGGGGAAGGTGTGGAGGAGCGATTCTAACCAAAGCCATCGTGAAGAAACCAGGAAAGCCAGAGGCCAGAAATACAGGAGAGAAATCACTGCTCAGGCAACACAAAATACAGGTGTAAAAGCCGGGCATTTCCCCCAGAGCCACCCCGAGAGCCTGTGCAAAGGTATTGTGCCCTGCCAGGCCACACAGCGCAGAGGAGCCCAGCCCAGAGGCTGAGTCCTTGGGAACCGGAACCAAACCCATCCCCTAGGGGTTTTTAGGCTAAAGGGGTGAGAGGATCTTCTTCGTTGTTGCTCAGAAAAAAGCTCCTGGTGCCTTCATCAATTCTTCTCTTTTCCAGAGCAAAAGTAACGAAAGCAAGGTCTGCAAACTCCTGGTCTCACCTGTGTCGACCCGGAAGGCCCAGTCTGTGACCTCCCAGGCCCGGCAGGACTCCCCTCCACCCCGGGCTGTGGGCTGGCCCAGGACGCGTTCTCTAAGGTCAGCCCGCATCTCCACACCTAGTACTTGACTAGAAAACGTTTGCTCCGTGCCCAGCGGATGGGGCCCCGCTATGGGCCTCCTCTGCCCTAGGCCAGCCACCCCTCCAGGAACGCTGGTGCCCATGATGGCCACCTCCCAGGCCTCCGGCTCCCGCCTTCTGCCGCCACTGTGGGCTCAGGCCGCACGCCCGCACGCCCTGCGCACCCCAGGGCCCTCCAAAGCAGGTGGCATCCTGCGGAAAGAAATTCTCTGGACTTTATTCCCGATGCAGGCCTTGGCCAAATACCAATGGCAAGCCCCAGAGCCAGGCAGGCTGAGGCCACCAGCCCGGTCAGCCATAGGTGTCAGGGTCCGCGTCCTCTGGCAGAAAGTAGCGCTGCAAGGCGGGCTGCAGGAGCCGCGGGGGCAGCGGGCGTGGGGGCGTGGGCCAGTCCCGGGGGAAAGGCTGAGGCTCCACACGTGGCAGCGGCAGCTTCAGCGTCCGGATGGGGCCATCCAGGGTGCGGCGCGCACAGAGCCGGGAAAGCACCGGGCCTGGGGGCGGGCGGAGGCTTGTGAGGCCTGGGGTCTGGGGCGGGATGGGGGCCCAGTCTCCACCCCTGGCCCCACTCACCCCTCAGTCTCATGGCGCACCTCGCGGACCTCTGCGCCTTGGCCTCCTGCAGCCGGAGGATGGGGTGGTACCTGGAGGCAAAGAGGAGGGTTCAGCCGGTCCAGCCCCACGCTTGGCCGCCCCACGCTTGGCCGCCCCACGCAGGCCCCGTCGGCGCAGGCCTCGCGCACCAGTGCTCCCGGGGTGGTGGCACCACCATGTCGGGCACCGGCGCCACCGTGTCGGGCACCGGCGGGTACGGATGCGCAGCCTCCTCCTGGAGCGAGCTCCGCTGCTGTGCCCGCAGCTGCTGACAGAAGAAGTTGAGCGCGTGTATGGGGCCCAAGTCCAGCAGCTGCGAGTGCGACCAGTCGGTCTCCTCCAGCAGCGGCGGCTCTTCGGGCAGCTGAGCAGGCCCCGCAGGGCCCAGGCGGGCCTCGGGCTCCAGGCAGAAGCTCTTCAGCGTCTCGGAGAGCACTCCGAGACCGAGCTGGCCGGTCACCCAGCTGCGCGTGGGTGCCAGCGTCTGCTGGGCCTGGAGCTCCGGGGAGAGAGAGTGCGGCTCCACAGGTGAGACCACCATCGAAGGCACCTCTGAGACCTGCGAGAGCCTCCTGAAGATGCTGGAGGGTGACCAGGAGGTGCCCGAGGGCATCACGGAGGCATGCGTGGGTGCCCCAGAGACCACTGAAGTCTGCGATGGGGTCTCCTTGGGAGGAGAGGAAAGTGCTGAGGTCTTGGAGACCTTGGGCAGCACCACCAGCAACTTGGCTGAAGACAGTGGCTGCGAGCTTTCCATCTGTGGGGAGGTGACCCACGGCCAAGCACCCTGGCTCCTTGAGCACCCCCATGGCCACTGAAACTCCCTTCTGCCTGACCCTCAGCCCAAGGCAGGGGCTGCCCCTCCCTTGACAAGGAGGTCCCAGGGCTGTCCCTGGCTCAACACCCAGGGCCAGACACCCCCTGTGACTTCCACCTGCACAGGGAAATCTCCAGAGATGCTCAGGGCAGGGAGGCTGGAGGCCCAGGACTGGGCAAGGCAAGGGGCCCGTGGCCTCAGCTGGTTTTGATCCCAGGACTTGTAGAAAGCCAGAGAAGGCAACAGGGTTCCCAAGGCACCCCCGGCCCCCACCAGCCCAACCTGAAGCTGCTGGATCATGTCCTCCAGTTTCTGACAGCAGCGAGTACGCAAACCAGCCTTGGAGTCTAGGTCGGAGCTCTGGACCCAGGTCATCATCTCCTTGAACAGGAAGCCTTCCGGGTCCTGAAGGCCCAGCCCATGCAGCAGCTTCTTGAGCTCTGGCCTGGGACAGATGCATGTGGCTGTCCAGAGGCCTTCCCAGTGGCAGGGAGGGCTGGGCCGGAGCGAGACTCACCGGCAGCGCACCGGAGAGTACAGGAAGTAGGACATGAGCTCCAGCACCACATCCCGGGACTCCAGGGAGCAGGCCAGGAGCAGCTGCAGTGCCAGCATCACGAACTTCTTCTGCGTCTGGTCCTGAGGCAGGCGGAGGGGATGTGGTTGCTGAGGGCGGGTGGGCAGGAAGGAAGACTGGGAGCAGGACAAGGGGCACACCTGGAGGCTGGGGGGCTGGTCCAGGTTGAGCAAGTGTATGAGCAGGCCCTGCAGCTGGCCTTGGAGATCACTGCTTATGTTGGGCAGCAGTCTCAGTAGCACCTGCAGGATGTGCACACGGTCCACCCACGTGGTCTCCTCCAGCACGGCCACCAACAGTGAGGCCAGGCCCTCCACTGTGCCCGCCTCCGGGTATGCCTGCAGGATAGCATGCTGAGGTGCTGCTCCCATGTCACACCCAAGCCAGCCCCTACCTTCTCCCCTGTCCCTCACCCTAACCCATGCTTCTCAGGCATCCTGAATTCCCTCCAACCTGCAGGTTGAAGACGGGGAACAACTCTTTGAACCAGGTCTGGTAGATGAAGAAATGCAGAAACTTGGGCAGATGCGCGTAATGCTCATCCAAAAGCAAACTCCCATGACGGTGCCAGGGATGAGGGTGGGTCCTGGCAGTCTCGTAGGTGCGCCGCCGGGGCTCCCGGGTCCAGTCCACAGCACTCTAGTGGAACAGCAGTGGCTACAGGTCCCACCTGTCTGGGTCTCAGTGTAAGCCCACCTCCCGTGGTGGCCTGGGGCCCCTGCCTGAGCCTCTACCTGCTCCTCCAGTTCCCAAGAATCCAGCTGCTGGCTGGAGTGCGAGCTCAGGGAAGCCGAGGCCCGGTCCAGCTCCTCCTCTACCTCCTCCTTCTCCTCCTCTTCCTTCTGATCTTCCTCCTCCTCCTCTCCAGGCTTATCCCCCAGCCACTGGAGCAGCTTTCTCTGCCACTGGGCTTGGGATGGCCTGGGGTACTGCAACCACAGGGCATCCTGGCTTGCCCCTGGCTGCAGAGGGGCAAGAGGTGGTGCCTGATGGGTTGCAAGGACAGCAGAGCCCTCCCCTACCAGCAAAGTCCCCAGCCCCGTCCCTTGCCTTGAGCTTTCTCTGGGAGGCGAGCTGAGTCAGGGATCCGAGGCCGCTGACCTCCGCATTTAGCCACATCTGCTGGAGCACCACTGAGTTGGGCACATAGCCGGGGAAGCAGATAGGCCTCAGGCAGTACTGGAGGTGGGCACAGCAGGGAATGCTGAGAACCTGGATTCCCCCAGCCTGGCCACCACCTTGGTCACCTGTATAACCTCTCAGAGCCCCTCAGCCGCCAGTCCAGCTCTGCTGCCAGGCCTCCGACAGCTGACTGAGCTGGCACCCCTACTCTCAACACAGATGGCAGGAGAACCCTGAGATACCAGGGGCGAGGCCCTCAGTGAGCATCAGCTGTGACAAATGAGAAGGGAAACCTGGGGAAGTGTTGGCTTCTAGGGGCCCTGACACCCCGCAAGCTCCTCACAGGACTTGGCCCAGCCCTGGGACAAGAAAGTCTAAAAGAAGCACAGGGGCCAGGGAGGAAGGAAGGAGCTTGGAGAGAGGGCAACGAAGAGCTTGATGGTGGTACCCAGGTCCAAAGAGTCAATAACCCACCTGGGCAAGTGACGGTGCCAGGCATATGCTGGGGGAGGGGCTGAGGCCTGCCTGGGCACCTGGTGTATGTGAGGATGGGAAGACAGTGGATTCTGAAGGGCCAGGTTCCCTTGACTTTGCTCCTCTAAAGGGCAGGGACTCTGATCTTCCAGGAAAAGTCCCTAGGGGACCTGCCTTTCCACAGCCTCCACGGGGGAAAGCAGTGTGTGGCATAACCGGCTGGGGGCCTGGCTTTGCCTGATGTCAGCTCCCAGAGCAGCAAGGAGTCTGTGGCCACAAACACAGCTGTAGTGGAACAGGGTTAGACAGACTGTGAAGGGTGAGGGGTGAGGGGTGCGTGGGAGGCTGCAGCCTGGCCCTCTGGTTTTAGGTGGGCATGGCCCTTGGGTCAGATTTGGACACAAAGATTTGTAGCAAAGGGGAGATGGCAGGCACAAGAGTGATGCCTGGAGAGGAGTGGCTCTCCAGGAGCTGGGTGGGGGTCTCACCTTGTGGGGCTGCACGGTGGCAGGAAAGAAGCCCCCAAGGCTAGAAAGAGGTTCCTTGGGCTGTCTCTTTGGCAGCAGTGGGATCTGGGGGATGGAATGGGGGCTCAGAACAACACAGTCCCCAGCGCCCAGCAGCTCTGTCCCTCAGAAGGTGGTACCCCACGTGCCTGGGTCCCTCACCCTGCACTGCAGGTGGGAGGATGGCAGGTCCAGGGCTACGGTCGTCCTCCCTCGGAGCTGCTCCAACTGCAGCTGTAGATCCAGACTGAGACCCAGGCAGTGGCTCAGTGAGGAGCGGGCCAAAAGCTGGAGTATAGGAGGAGTCACAGGGTGGCAGAGGGGCCATGGCGGCCCAGCAGGCATGTGGGAGGGTGGGAAGCCTTACCTGGGATGCCTTGCTGTGCACCCTACGGTGGGTGGGTGGGATCGGCACTGTGACTCGGGGAGGATGGGAGAAGTGCTGGTCCAGGGGCCCCAGGTCCTGTGGGGACAGGGCTGTTGGCACTGTTTGGGCTGCAGTGCTGACCTCACCCCGGGCAAGACAGTGGGCAGCTTGGGGTAGGGCACACACATCCCAGGTCTCTCTCTCTACTGTGAGGGTCCCGGTGCTCCACTGCTGGGACTCCCTTCTGCATGCCCTGGGAGGGTAGCAGGAGCAGACGGACCATCAGAGACCAGGTGGGAGCGGTGGGTGGAGAGGCGAGGCCAGGGTCAGGACTGGGTTGGGGGAGACCCCACACCTACCAGCAGGCCAGAGCCATAGATCAGACGAAGGTAATTGTCAAAGCCTTCCTGGCGCTGCTGCCAGGAGGGTGGGGGCCGGGCTGCTGGGACCACTAGCCCCAGCCTCAACTGCTGAAGGTCTCGGTCCCGGGCCACTAGGGCGTCCAAGTCCTGAGTCAGGGTTCAGGGATCAGCCTGCTCTTCCTTGAGCCTTGCTACGTGCTGCCCAGACAACCACAGGGATCCCAGGCCTGCCCCAGGGCTGAAGGCTGGGGCCTGAGCCTGGGCAGGGCGGGTTCAGGAGGACCCACCCCACCTCCTTTGGCACCAGGTGCTGAGATGTTGCCCTCCGACGATGGATGAGAGGCAAGGCCTTGCTGCAAGTAGGGACTGGCACAGGTGGGATGCTGGGTGGCATGTCAGTGGGCTGGGGCAGAGGCTGGGACAAGGACCGACCCCAAATGGGTGTGCCAAGGCTCAGGCAGGCTTGCATCAACTCCAGAGGGCCCCACGCAGCCAGGCCCTCACCCAGGGTGGGAAAGGGGGGCCTCCAGGAGGGTTGAGCAGGCCCGTATGGGACCTGAGGCTGGCTGCCCGATGGAGGTTGCTGAGCCTCTGCAGTTGGGTGGGAGTCAGTGATTCCTGGCTCGTCAGTGGCAGCGGAGGGTCGTCCACCACGTCTGGGACCTTCCAGCACATCTTCTGAATAGGAGAAGGAACCTGTATGCCTGGCTGGGGGAACCCAGGTCTGCTCCCCCAAGGTGGGCAAGGTGAGGGGCCCACCTTGCTCACTCTGTCCTCACCACACACCTTAACTAGGTAGGATGTAGGCAGGTAGAGCCTATGGGACACCAGGCAGAGGCGGGATCCCAGTGCCAGCACCAGGTCTCCACTGTTGCTGCAGAAAGTCAGGGCCTGAGGGGCACCATTCAGCTGCAGGAGCCTGGAGGTGACCCAGGGCAACCGAGGCTCAGCAGGGACAAGGCCTTCTCCACCCAGTTCAGCCACTGGGCTCTGGTGCGAGGCAGAGGGAGGAGACCCCAGTCCTCCCCACCGCCCAGCCTACCGCAGGAGGCGGTTCTCAGCGGTCCAAATGCGAATGGTGCAGTCCAGGCTGGAGCAGGCATACAGCTTGAGCGTGGGGCAGCAGCACAGGCCTGGGGGCAGGGTTCAGGGTCAGGAACCGAGCCGGGCGGGGGCTGGGCTTCACCCGTGTTGCCCCCTCACCGGTGATGTGGTCCGTGGGGTCGTCCTGGGGCCGGTGGTCTAATCGCGGACTGTCGCCCAGGCCAAACTGCACCAGGCCGTAGGTAGCGCTATCTGGGTCTTCAAAGCCCACAGTGACGCGTCTGCCTAACGCACAGAGCGCCACAGCCGGGTAGCAGCAGGAGAAGGTGCGCAGCAGGCTCAGGCTCTCCTCGGCGTAGGGGAAGACGCGCCACATCTTCACCGTCAGGTCCCCACCTGTGGGCAGCGGAGCCTGGCTGGGCCTTGTCGGAGGGGAGGGGGCTCTGTGGCAGCCTGACCGTTGGCAGGGGAGCTACTGACCCGAAGACACGATGCTGTTCCAGGTGGATGCCATGGCGACGACCGGACCCGGGCTGTGCGCCTCCGTTTGGAAGACAGTCTTCGACGACAGCCAATCCAGGACTGACAGCGTGCCGTCCATGTGCCCCACCACGGGCAGGTACCTGCGAGTGGGAAGAGCCTGTTGGCGCGGACCCTGCCGCTCCTTCTGCCCGCCAGACCCTCGCCGGCTCCGGCACCCACCGGTTCGTGTTCTTGCAGGCGCAGGCCACAGCGCTGCGGCGCAACTCGCCCTGGTGCTGGCGCACGACCTCCCAGGAGGAGAAGGCGCCTCCGAGATCTGTGAGGTGGCTGTACAGGTGCAGACAGCAAGGCTGCGGCGCAGGGGGCGGCGGCGGGCACATGCGGTGCAGCACGCTCATGGGGCAGCGCGCCGCGTTGGCGCGGACCAGGTGCCCGGCCTTGGTCAGCAGCCACAGCGCCTCGCGCGGCAGGCAGTAGGCCACGGCTGCCGCGCAGTCCTCCGGCTCCAGCAGCAGTGAGCTCACTATGCGCCCGGTGGCAGCTGACAGGAGGTAGACTGAGCCGTCGGTGCACGCGCACACGAGGCGAGTAGGCAGAGACGGGTGCGCAGGCGCGGGCAACGCAGGCGCCACCTGCACATGGAGCACCTTGGCGGGCAGTTGCGCCAACGGCGAGTAGAGCTCGCGTACGCTCCACAGTTGCATGCTGCTCGCGCACAGGGACAGCACCGGCCAGCCCGGGCGTGCTGGCGCCAGCAGACGGCCCACGCGCCGGGACAGCTTGTCCTGACCCCAGTAGCCCAGTGCTACCTCGCCCACCTGCGCCGCCGCCTGCAAGTCCCAGGTGCGTAGCGTCCCGTCCTGTGAGGCCGACACCACCAGGGTCGTGTTAGGCAGCACAGCCATAGCCGTCACCGGGCCTGTGGGAGGGGTGCAGGTCACTCGGCTGACTGAAGGCGGGGGAGCCTTCAGCCTATGTTGCAGTCAGCGCAGCAAGGCCTGGCCAGAGCTGCAGAGATGCTGGACAGCCTAGAGCGGCTGGAGGCAAAAGGCCGAGGCTCGGGGTGCAGAGAATTCAGAGCACCTGTGTGGCCCACGAACACCATCCGGATCTGCCAGTTAGCCTCCCACACCTTCACGGTGCTGTCCCGGGAAGCTGTCACCATTGCCTCTACTTCCTCGCAGTAAGCCAGGTCCGAGATGGTGCTACAAGTGGGGAATGGGAGAAGCCCAACGGACTTAACATCGCCTTGTGAAGGCCCTGTACCCCTACATGCCTGGTCCTCCTTAGGGGGATTCCCCCTCACGTTTTGTGCAGATCCCAGCGCACATCTACCAGAGTCCAGGCATGCAGATCGAAAGTGAGCACAGCCGAGCCATAGGCCGCGAAGCAGCGCAGGACGTGGTGGGGAGGAACCGGCCCCACAGCCAGACGCATGAGCCTGCCCGTTGGGCTCGGGGGCGGGTGCAGTGGTGACCCTCGCAGCACTAGGCGGCGACCACCTGAGCGGAACTGCCAGAGCGCCAGGCTGCTGTCCATCTCCGCCACAAGCAGCAGCCTGAGGTCAGGCACCGGCAGGCAGCAGGTGGGCGCCCAACCCGGGGCCCTGCCCACCCGCGGCTCGCTCAGCCATAGCAGGCTGAGGTTGGGCCTCAGAATGGCCAGCCCCGCGGGGCCCCAGCCTACAAAACGGCCCACGGCACCCAGCGGGCCCAACACGGTCACCAGCCCCGTAAGCCCGACAGGCGCCAGCAGCGTCTCCTGTGCCCAGCCGTCTTCCTTGTGCAGGTGCAGGCGGCCCGCGCCGTCCAGCACCACGAAGCGTCCGCCCACCGGGTCCTGCGCCACTGAGCGCAGCCCGGCTGCCACCTCCAGGCGGCGCAGTGGCTCCAGCCCATGCGTCAGGCGCGCCACGCGCAGCTCGCCTCTCTTCTCCTGTGGGCCGGGGGGAGCGGACCCGCCGTCAAAGGTTGGGGCTGCTCCGGCCTAGGGAACCCCTAGGGGAAGGACCGGATCCCGAAAGAGGCCTGGAGGCACAGGACGGGCACAGCGCACCTTTTCCACGACCTCGTGGAGACTGGTGCGCAGAAGCAGCCACAGCCGGCGGGCGCGGGCGCGCGGGGTCAGGCTTTGCCACTGCTGGCTGCTGGTCAGAAAGGGCAGGACCTGCGACGGCTCCGTGAAAGTCAACTCTGCGGGCGGGAACTGGAAGTTCTGCCACCTACAGCCTCAGGTCCCCGACCCTGACGGTTATGGGGAGCCCTCCTCCAGGGGCCCTGCCCTGCCAGGCACTGCCCAGGGGAGTTTCGTTCCAGGGGATGGAACCCAAGCCCGAGTGAGACCCACTTCCTGGCGGATGCCCGTGGGACGAGGCCAGGACCCCTCACCATTCTTTTCGGTGAGCAGCCCAGGGTCTGGGACATCATAGACATCTGCATCATACAGGTCCGAGTCCAGAACTAGGTTGTAGCCTTCTGCCTCCCACGCCTCTGCCTCCATTTCTGCAACTGCGGTCCCAGAACCCAACAGCTCCCAGGACTTAGCGGTCACCGCCGGCAGCGGCAGTTGCTAGGATACCAGATGCCGCTGGCCACTCCCACACCGCAGGCCCCGCCCCCACATCGCATCCAGGTCCACACTAAGTCACAGAAACTTTTATTGGAAAGAAATGAGCTGCAGCAAAGTGACACTCAGTGCACGCGGCCAAATGGGCGAGGTGGGGGTACAGGTGGGCACCAGGGGCCGGCCCAAGACCAGAGCTGGTGACCGCCGGGGCCTGTTTGCGGGGCCTCCGGCCACAGACCCTTTGGGCTGGAGTGTGCAGGCCCAGTAGAAATACAAAAATAAACTCTGTGGTCCAGCTCTCCCTGCTGTGGCAGTTCATTTGGGCAGGGCAGTCACTCTTCCCACCAGGCCCCGTGCTGCCGAGTCCGGCCACAGCACGGGCAGCAGGAGTCTGAGGGGTGAGTGGGCATCCACAGGATGGAGCCAAAGGGCTAGGCAGGTATGGCCTTGGGCAGTGCCAGGACTGTGGCAGCGCCAGGGTCTGGCCAGCAGCTGGGGAGGCCCCAGGGGCCTCTCAGGCGGGCAGGTCCAGGCATTGGTTGAAGCTGGATGAAGCTGGGGCCTCGGCTCCTCCTCATCAAATACAGATCACTGGGACCCTGGGCGGAGGTTGGCACACGGTGGGCCTTTAGGAGCCACCACTTAGACCACGTAGAGGAGGCCCCCACCCTGTTGCACCCACTCCAGGTTTCAGGGACCCGGGTCATGGCCCCCATCACACACCTGTCCTCCTCCATGGTGTTGGTCTCCTCGGCCCCACCCTCACTGCCTCCGCTCCTGCTTTCTTCCTCCAACTCCTCCTCCCCCAGCTCCATGTCCAGCTCATTGCCTGCCTCTGAGGGCGTGTAGGTGGAGCCACTGAGGGGAGGCAGGAAAACCAGTTTTAGGACCCCCTACCCAGGCCTGCTGCTGGCCCCAGGAAGGATGTTCAGGGAGGACAAAGCTGGGTGGAGATGGCACAGCTGGTGAAGTTGTATCGGCCCAACAGGGAGGTGGGGGAGGAGGCAGATGGTGCCCACCTGATGGAACGGCAGCTGAAGAAAACAATTCGCTTGAGCCGCTTATTGTAGAAGAAGTAGTTGAAGGACCAGAGGCTACCATCCTCCCCGAAGGGGTCTGAGTCCAAGTCTGGGTTATAGCTGGGGAGTATAGGGTGACAGGTGGTGTGAGGGATGGGGGCCCACCTGCAGGGATGCTGGCTCACCTGCAGGGATGGGGGCCCACCTGCAGGGATGCCGGCCCACCTGTAGATGTCACATTCAGCCAGGCAGATCTCCTCATCCACCGCGTTCCACAGCTGTGGTTTCAGGGCCTTGAAGTCCTCCCGCACAGCTGAGAACAGACTGCAGTTGACTGCATTCACCACCTAGAGCAGGTCACAATCAGGCTGACAGGAGCCCGGGGCTACCGAAAGTGGGGAAGAACAGTGGGGTGGCTGTGGGTCCCTTCCCTCCACCTGACCCTCACCCAGCTAAGGCTGGGCTCCCGGCTGAACTCATGGCTGCGGGCTGTGCTGAAGTCATAGTCAGGCCTGAAGGACTCATTGAGCGTGGCAATCAGGTAGAAGAGGGTCTTGCGGCTGCACTTGTCACTGAGGGGGCCCTCGTCCTCGCCGCCTTGGCTTTTGCTGAGTCTGCACAGAGAGAAGCATCAACTGGGCCCATCACCTCCCCTCAACCCCCAGCCCCAGGCAGCCCCCACTATGGCTCACCTACTGGGGCTGAGGCCTGAAGTCTGGGGTGGAGAGAGTGCCTCCAGCACGTGGGGCTGGCCCTCCTGGCAGAACTGCTTGAACATGTGTTTGTCATCTCCTGCCATCTTACATGAGTAGCTCTCAATCCTATAGCATGCAGAGAGGACCATGAAGCATGCTTCCCCCAGCTTCCACTGAAGGGCGGGGCAGTGTGACCTCCGAGATGCCAGCCCCGCGCGCCCCCCCGCCCTGCCTCACCTGCCGATGATGTGGGCGTCTCCGGTCTCCACAGTCAGCTGTGAGTTGATGGCTTCAAAGCTCGAGTTCTCCAACAGCTTCATGTCCTTGAGAAGGGGGCTTCGTGCTCCAGAGAAGCTAGTGTTGCCTGGGGAGTGACAGGCCAGACCATGGGTATCTATCTGGCCCCTTGGGGCCCTGCCTTCAGCCCTCCTACCCACTAAGTGGAGCCGCTGGGAACAAGCTGAGTCTGGCCTCTGTCCAGGCTGCACATCAGGAATTCCCCTCTCTGCCCCGCCAGGAGAGGTGACGAGATCTTGTTTTACCTGAGGGTGGCAAGTCCAGGCTCCAGGTCAGCCACACCCCCTGCAGAACACGCGAGTTCTGGGACTAGGCTAGGACCACCGGGGACCCTGCTCACCCTGGGGCTGCTGGTTGAGTTTGTCGCTCAGCATTGCCATTGCCATTCCCCATCCCCACCCCCACCCCCACCCCCACCCCGAAAGAACAGCTCCAGCCACCATGGGGGTAACTCTTGAGTCCGCAACGGGACATGACTTTTGCAGTCTCCCTCAGGCTGGCTGGGCTCCTCAGCCAGGGTAAGAGGCTGCATCCCAGTTAGGAACCAGGACACCTGGGGCTCCGGGCTCTGCAGTCACCTGGGCGGGCGCTCTTTCGTTCTGGCTGGTTTCTGGCCCGGGGAGAGGAAAGCTAGAGGTTCCTCCACTTTACCCGGAAAAAGCGCCTAGTTTCTCCAGACGCCTAGGAGGGCGGTCCCTCGACCCCGCTGGGGCGCTGCAGAGTCGCCAGGCAGCGCCCGCCGGGGCCAGGTAGGGCACCCGCCGAGCCGCGGTGGAACTACAAATCCCAGGAGGCAGCGCGCCGCGCGAGGCCTGCTGGGGGCTGTGGTTCCGGAGGCCCGAGACAGCGCGGGGCTCAGGGCGGACACCCACCCACCTACCTGGCTGGGTTAGATCTGGCCTCGCCGGGTCGGGTCTGGCTGGGGTGGGTCGCTCCGCGTTGGTGCCGGTGCGCAGGCGGGGGCGGGCTCCGCGCAGCGCGGGCTCCTCAAGATCGGAGGGCGGCGCCGCGGCCTCCGCTCGGGCCGCACTGTATCCGGGGGAAGAAGCTCCGCGGCGACGTCCCGTTACTCCTGGCCCTGCCGGCCCATCCGGGCTGCCACCGCGACATAGCCTCGCCCCCCTGCACAGAGCCCGCTCTCGCGACCGACCTGCCGCCGACCGCCACAGAGCGCCCCAGCGAGTCAGCGAGCCCAGCGAGCTAGCGACCTCCGCCTCCCCCGACCGGACAACAACAAGCGTCCGCCAGGCCCGGCCCCGCGCCTCTGAATGGCCCGCTCCAGTCGCCGGGATCGAGAGCTCGAATAGCAATCGGGTGCCTTACCCGCCACTCAGTTCTGCTTTCTATGTCTACAGGTTGTGGAGTCTGTCTGTCACTCCTCTCGCCGTACTAACCCGCCCATCCCCAGCGCTCATTGGCCATGGCCTCTCTCGCTCCGCCCCTGAGGGGGTCGACCCCTTAACCAGAGAGGCACGGGCCAACCTAGTGCGTCGTGTGGGCGTGGCGGGGGCTGCGGTCTGCGGGCGAAGGTGGCTGCCCATTGGAGGTCCCGGAAGCGATGTGCAGCTGCCGCCAGGCGCTGGGATAGTCGCTGGCCGTCTGCATCTCCACCCGCCGAGCCCCTGGGGCGAAGAGGCAGCGTGTGCCTTCAGTTGTGGCCGGTGCTTCGGCCCCTTACCCTTCGCCCCCAAAGACTAGCTCAAACGTGAGCGCCTCCGCCGCCCTGCCCCTGCCTCGTACACGCCGCCAGCCTCGCCCAGCCCGTGGGCCGTGTCCATTTCTGGTCAAAGCCAGCGGGGCAGGCTTGGCCAGGGTGCACAACTCGGCGCCGTCCCAAGGCCGACGCTCTGTGCGCGCCCGGAACCCTAGGCTTGCGGCCAGGGTTTCCGACGGGCGGAGACGCTTAGCGGCCAGATCCCACGGAAGCGCGCTCGGAGGGCCGGGACCCGGCCGGACCGGAGATGGCGCCGCCAGCGGGCGGGGCGGCGGCGGCCTCGGACTTGGGCTCGGCCGCAGTGCTCTTGACTGTGCACGCCGCTGTGAGGCTGCTGGGCGCCAGGCCAGACGCCGAGGCACAGCTGCGGAGACTCCAGCTGAGCGCGGACCCTGAGCGGCCTGGGCGCTTCCGGCTGGAGCTGCTGGACGCGGGACCCGGGGCGGTGAGTGGGGGCGGAGGGCGCGGAGTCAGTCCTCTTGGCCCGGGCAGGGCACGGAGCCCAAAGCCAGGCCCCTCCGCTTGCCATCTGGGTACCCTTAAGCAGTTACGTTTCTTTGCTTCTCTTTTCTTGTCCGTGAAATGGGGGTGATGCTGGGACCTACTTTACAGGACTATTGTGAAGATTTGATGATAGGCGTACAGGACTTAGGACCTTGAAATGGTCTATAAATGTTATCTTGTGTTTCTTTGCTCATCGTGCGATGTAGGGCGGGGGAACGCCCTGAGCCTGGACTCTCCCCCTTCTCAGGTCAATTTGGAGTGGCCCCTGGAGTCAGTCTCCTACACCATCCGAGGCCCCACCCAGCACGAGCTGCAGCCTCCGCCAGGAGGACCTGGAACCCTCAGCCTGCACTTCCTCAACCCTCAGGAAGCTCAGCGGTGGGCAGTCCTAGTCCGAGGTGCCACCGTGGAAGGACAGAATGGTCAGTGCCCTGTAATGGATACTCATTTGGAATAGCCTTGGCCCCCCAGTCCTGGTTGGGGAAGTTGGATCCACCTTCCAACTTGGAGTACTTGGAGTGGCTCCTGGAGTCAGTCTCCTGCACCATCTGAGGGCCCAGCCAGTACGAGCTGCAGCCTCCACCAGGAAGCCCTGGAACCTCAGCCTGCACTTCCTTAACCCTCAGGAAACATGAGAGGCAAGCATGAAGGGGCGGAGCAGGCAGGGTCAGGACCTGTGTGAGAAGACATCATCCCAAGAGCAGCAGGAGGGTGACAAGAGTGGGAGAGTGACAGACTCAAGACTGAGAGTTCTGCAGTGGCAAGGGTTGTGCAGATAGGGTTGGGGAGAAGGGTGTTTCCAGAGATGCTTAGAAGATGGAATTAGTGGCTGGGTGGGGTGGCTCACGCCTGTAATCCCAGCACTTTGGGAGGCCGAAGTGGGTGGTTCACCTGAGGTCAGGAGTTCGAGACCAGCCTGGTCAACATGGTGAAACCAAACTCTGTCTCTACTAAAAATACAAAAATTAGCCAGGCATGGTGGCGTGCACCTGTAGTCCCAGCTAATTGGGGAGGCTGAGGCAGGAGAATCACTTGAATCTGGAGGCAAAGGTTGCAGTGAGCTGAGATCGTGCCGCTGCACTCCAGCCTGGTGACAGAGGGAGACTCTGTCTCAAAAAAAAAAAAAAAAAAAAAAAAAGATGGAATTAGCTGAGTTTCATGGTTGCTTGGGAGGTTTTCTGCAGACAAAGCCTCCCTCTATCACCCAGAATGGAGTGCAGTAGTGTGATCCTAACTCACTGGAGCCTTGAACTCCTGGGCTCAGGTGATCCTCCTGCTTCAGCCTAAGTAGCTGAGGTTATGGGCGTGAGCCACTGCCCATGGTTGCTTAAATGGAAAAGTTAGCTGTTGAGACTGAGAAACATGAAGGACTAGGTAGTATGGGGCTCCCAGAGGGCAGCCCACAAACAGATAAGCAGAGCTGCCAGAGGGGTCGGAAGACAGCCAGACAGGGATGTAAGAGAGGCTCAAGCAACTCAGTGTTTAGAAAGGAGCTAGGCTCTCTTTAGTCATTCACCAAGCATATGTATTCAGCAGCTGCTCTGTCCCAGGTACTCCTCTGGCATGAACAAAACTTCCAATCCCTATCCTATTGGAGCTTGCATTTTTAGAGGGGAGGAGGCAGACATATAAAATAAGTACAGGGCTGGGCAACATACCAAACATTTAAAAATATAGCTGAGTGGGCCGGGCGCGGTGGTTCACGCCTGTAATCACAGCACTTTGGGAGGCCAATGTGGGCAGATCATGAGGTCAGGAGATCAAGACCATCCTGGCTAACATGGTGAAACCCCATCTCTACTAAAAATACAAAAAAAAAAAAAAAATTAGCCAGGCATGGTGGTGGCGGGGACCTGTAGTCCCAGTTACTCGGGAGGCTGAGGCAGAAGAATGGCGTGAACCTGGGAGGTGGAGCTTGCAGTGAGCCGAGATCTCACCACTGCACTCCAGCCTGGGCGAGAGCTAGACTCCGTCTCACAAAAAAAAAAAAAAAAAAAAAAAAAATTAACTGAGTGTAGTGGTGTCTGCCTGTAATCCCAGCTATTTGGGAGGTTGAGATGGGAGGATCACTTGAGCCCAGGGGTTCTAGGCTGCAGTAAACTGTGATCGTGCCACTGCACTCCAGCCTGGGTGACAGAGCAAGATCCTGTCTCCAAAAAAAAAAAATAATAATAATAAAATTACCGTAGAGTTTTTTAAAAAAGAAAGTCTGTTAGATGGTGTGGGACTGGGAATGGTGGAGCTGGGAGGATTGCTTTTTAAAACGGTGGCAGGGGCACAGTGGCTCATGCCTGTAATTCCGGCACTTTGGGAAGCCGAGGCAGGTAGATCACTGGAGGTCGGGAGTTAAAGACCAGTCTGACCAACATGGAGAAATCCTCTCTCTACTAAAAATACAAAATTAGCCAGGTGTGGTGGTGCATGCCTGTAATCCCAGCTATCCGGGAGGGTGAGGCAGGAGAATCGCCTGAACCCAGGAGGCAGAGGTTGCAGTGAGCCGAGATCACACCATTGCACTCCAGCCTGGGCCACAAGTGAAACTCCGTCTCAAAATAAAAACAAAAACAAAAAAAACGGTGGCAGGGGAAGGCCTCATTGAGGCAACACTGGAATGAAATGTGAAGGTCATGGCATGAACCATGTGACCAAGGAAGCAGCAAACAAACCCCGAGGTGAGCATGTGCAGGTGATCCTTGCGGCTCACTGGGTGCCAGGACCGAACAGCGCTGGGTGCATGGAAGGCCCTGCTTATCCTAGTAGGGAGACAGTATGAATACAGTGGGCCTGGGATCATCACAGGAGCTGTGTTAGCACTGGGTGGGGACCCCCCATTGCAGTGGGCTGGGCCTCACACGGGGGTGGGGGTAAGAAGGGGAGTCAGCAGGGTGCCCAGCTCTGAAGACGCCTAGGGCAGTGGCTTGTCTGGAGTGCTGGCAGCCCAAGTGTGGGTCAGGGAGTCCGGAGAGGGGAGGTCTCCAAGGGCTCCAAGAGGCCACCCAGACTGCAGGGGCACTGAGGGCCTGCTTTGGTTCTGCTGTGAGGCATCCCTGGCTGGCAGAAAGGGCCAAGAAAGGCGGCCTGGCCAGGCACCAAAGGGTTTGAAAGGGCTCTAATTCCCAAAAATGAACTAAGTGCAGCTCCAGCACTAACAGAAGTCTGGCAGGGGCCTCTGAGGGGCTTGCCAGAGCTAAGGCTGGGAGAAGGTGTGGCTTGAAGTGTGGCCTGAGGCAGGACCCTGGCATGGGCTGAGGTGAGGGAGAAGGCAAAGGTCCTGGAAAACCAAGGGCCCAGAGGCCTGGACAGAGGCCACAGCATAGCCCACCCATATCTTACCTGTAGGCAGCAGCAGCAGCAGCTCACCACCAGCCCTGGGCCCAGAAGCATGCCCCGTCTCCCTGCCCAGTCCCCCGGAAGTCCCCACACCTGAGGCAGATCTTCCTAGGAGCCCTGGAAACTTGATGGAGAGAGGTACAGGTGTGGAGGGGGGTGTTGGGGGATAGCAGACAGTCCCCAGTGGTGACAGCTGTCCTTTCCTTGCCCTACAGAAGAGCTGGCAGGGAATCTGGCCCGGGCCATTGCAGGTGGAGACGAGAAGGGGGCAGCCCAAGCGGCAGCCATCCTGGCCCAGCATCGTGTGGCCCTCAGCGTTCAGCTTCAGGAGGCCTGCTTCCCACCTGGCCCCATCAGGTGAGGCCTGGGGCTTCTTCCTCACCTTGTCCTTGTGACCCTCCCAGGTCCTCCATCCATCCCTCAACCCACATTCTGGCACAGGCTGCAGGTCACACTTGAAGACGCTGCCTCTGCCGCATCCACCGCGTCCTCTGCGCACGTTGCCCTGCAGGTCCACCCCCACTGCACCGTTGCAGCTCTCCAGGAGCAGGTGGGCACAGGGTCTAGGGAGCTCTGCCAGGGGGCAGGGCAGCCTAGGTGACATCATCTGCCCTGATTGCTCTGGCCGCAGGTGTTCTCAGAGCTCGGTTTCCCACCAGCTGTGCAACGCTGGGTCATTGGGCGGTGCCTGTGTGTGCCTGAGCGCAGCCTTGCCTCCTATGGAGTTCGGCAGGATGGGGACCCTGCTTTCCTCTACTTGCTGTCAGCTCCTCGAGAAGCCCCAGGTCAGTCCTCGATGGGGGTGGGGTGTGGGAGGTGGGGTGCAGCCCGCCAGTCCTGAGCTCCACCCCCTCAGCCACAGGACCTAGCCCTCAGCGCCCCCAGAAGATGGACGGGGAAGTTGGACGCTTGTTTCCCTCATCATTGGGGCTACCCCCAGGCCCCCAGCCAGCTGCCTCCAGCCTGCCCAGTCCTCTCCAGGTGGGCACGGGACTGGGCAGGGTGGGTCAGGACAGCCATGGGCATTGGAAAGAGCAGGGAAGCAACAACTGTCTCTCTTCCCCCAGCCTAGCTGGCCCTGCCCTTCCTGCACCTTCATCAATGCCCCAAGCCGCCCTGGCTGTGAGATGTGTAGCACCCAGAGGCCCTGCACTTGGGATCCCCTTGCCGCAGCTTCCACCTAGCAGCCACCAGAGGTACCAGAGGTGGCTCAGGCAGGGGAAGTGGCACGGCAGAACCTACAGGAATGACCCAGCTCCACCCCCACAGGTTACAAGGGGAGAGTGGCCCTTCCCTCATAGGCGCGACGTCTCCAGGTCCCCGCCGAACTCAGGGGACCTCTACTGACTGCTTGCTGGGACAGAGTCACCAGGGTTGGGGGAAGGGCCACAAACTGAAACCATTAAAGACACTTACAAGCCAGCAAGTGTCCCTTTCGTGGCATCTCTGCAGACCTGCCCCAACCTAGCCAGCACTACCGAGACACCCTCATCAGCAGGTGGGGCTCCCCCAGCCAGACCCCAGTGGTACCAAAGAGTAGACCTGGACCCTAAGCCTCAGTGGTCAGGAAAGCATGGCATGGGGATCTCTTCCCAGACTCCAGAGGCCTACAGAGCCCCCCACCCAGCTGCTCACCACTGGGCTGAGGCTGCTGCGGTGTGCCACACACTGAGCCACAGCCCCCACCACTGACCTTGTCTCCTGTCTACCCTGGTCCCCCAGGCCTGCGCCTCTCCTGCCTGCAGCCCTATTGGCACCACCTTTCTCCCATTCAGCTCTTGCCTTCCCTGGACTCTGGCCACCACTCCCCTCAGCTCTTGCAGCTAGGATACCAGCAATGAAAACGGGTGTTTTCCTTCCCCTCCTAGGGACGAGGGAAGCTCAGGAGCTAAGTCCTACACCAGGTCACTGGGCCAGTGCTGGGTCATGTCTCTGTGAGCCTCGTAGATAGCATCCACTGTCTCCCTCCCTCAGCAGCATGCTCCTATGGGAACCCAGCCACTGCAAGCTTCTGGCCAGGACCTACCACCCAGCTGCCCTGTGGACTGCTAGGAGGGGCCACTCTATGACACACATCCTGCCCGTCTACTTGACCCCTTCACCTGGCTGGGAGCTATCCCCTTCCTCTCAGCCCAGTCCAGCAATAGCCCCTGCCCTAGACCAGGCCTTTTCCCTGTTGAAATGCTGCCGAGGTTCCCTGCTGCCATCAGAATGGGGCCAAGTGGTTCAACACCTTGACACTTGGCTGTTCATTCCAACAGGTCCCTGGGCCACATCCTGCCTAGCCAGGCCCTTTTCAGCTCTGTGCCCAGACACACCCCATCCCACCCCACCAAATGCTGCCACTTCCTCTAACATCCAGTTGTCTGCTTTCTGTTCCACACCCACCATCTGCACTCCCAGCTACCAGATAGTGCAGGGCATTGCTGGCCACACTGAATGGGACATCCTGGGAGCCTTGTGAAGGCAAGGGTCTTGGTATCAGAGTCCCTTGCAAACCTGCACTCCTTCCATATAATAGCTCAAATATGACAGTTCAAATATGTACATTGAGAAACTTAATTTATTCCCATGATGGGGGCTGAAGGAGGGCCCAGAGCTAGGGCCTGGTCTCCTGTCCCCTTGCCTCTTTTTCCAGACAAACAGGGGTTAGCCAGCTGAGGCTGAACAGGCCTGGGATGGCTCTTGGGCTTGAGGGCCTGTTCTGGCAGGATGGCAAGCAGACACTGGACAGGGTCACTTGGGCGGCCGATACGCCAGCTTCCGACTCTTCAGGACTGACCACTTGTGCCGCTTCATGATGAAGATCAGGGGCACTAGCAGAGCCGCCATCATTAACATCTGGGGACGAGGAAGGCTCAGAAGGGAGTGGGGAGCAGCCCTGCCCAGCTCTCAGCCCTTCTCTGATACCCACCATGGCCTTCTCCCAACCCTTTTACCTTGAGCCCCATGCGTTTTCGATGGTCGTGCGCTGGCTCAGATGCCCAGCGCAGGAAGGTGCACACGTCCTTCGCTATCTGAGACATGGTAGCTGGGGTGCCTGGCCAAGGACAAGCAATGAGGGCTATTCTCACACTCATGTCCAACCTGGGATAACACACCCCCTCTGTGGAGCAGACACGGGCCCCTACCCAAGGCATCAAAGGCACAGTACCCTCCACCGGACATACGCAAGACTGAAGGACTGAAGGAGCCCAAAAGCCTCCTGAGATATGCACAGAAGACACCCCAGACAAGAAGTGGGCAGGACCTCCTGGGCCCAGGAACACGGGAAGCATCCCTGGGGGTAGTGGAGAAGTATTCAACATGCTCACTGCCAAACTGGAGGCTTCTTACCATCGTCAAACTCCAGGACATCTGTGTAGATGGGAGGGGCCATGGAAATGGCCTGGCCAGGAAAGTAGGGGTTGAAGTAGAGACCTTCCCGCAGTGACACCCCGGTGGGTGGCTCGCAGTAGCCCGTGAGCAGGGAGAAGATGTAGTCCTCACCACCATGCCTAGGACCAGATAGATCCATGGCTCCTTAGTCCCAAGCACAAGTCAGCCCTTCCCCCACCTCTCCGGCACCACCCCGTGGGCAGCCCGTGTACCTAGCTAGCACGATGTAGCTGAGGTCAGGGGGCAATGCTCCGTTGTTGGCAGCTCGAGCAGCCTCAGTGTTGGGGTATGGTTTTGGGAAATAGTCGAACAGTTTCCCTGGCCGCATGAACATCTCCCCATTTTCATCGGGGCCATCTTGAACCTCCACCTGCCACCGAGAACCTCATCACAACCCTACCATCTCACCACAGTGGGAGCCCTGAGCCCTGGGTCCCAGGCATCCCCAGACCCCACACCTCCGCAGCCAGCGCCTTAGCTTCATCCTCCGTGTAGCACACGCCCACCAGGTGTCGGTAAGCCACGAAGTCCATGCTGTGGCAGGAGGAGCACACCTGCTTATATACCTGGAAACCCCTCCGGATGCTGGAGGGAGGGAAAGGGTTAGGAACGCTGAAGATTCCACCTCACCAGCTCCACCCAGAACCTCCCCCTGCCAGTCAGCCAGCCAGCTGCATACCTGGTGTGGTCCAAGGAAGAGAGGAAGCCACTGTGAGACCACGGATAACTGGGGGGGTGCAGCTCCAGGTCACTGGCACTCACAGCCGAATGCAGAGCCACAGCCAGCCCCGCACCCCCTGCCGCCAGCATGCCCAGCGCTGACAACATCACCTTTCGGCCTCGGGAAAGGCCAGACTTCGACGACAAGGCCACTGCCTGCAAGATCTCCGCTCAGCGCCTGCCAGGACACCACCCAGCCCTACCTGCGGATCTGACTCTCAGCGGCCACCTCTCCACCCAGCAACGGCCACCTCCTGCAGGGCACCAGACGCACACCCTGTCCCACTACCCACGCCATCCCTCTCCGCCGCTGACCCATAGATCGTGATTCGCTCTCAGGAGGGGGGTGTTCCTGCATCCTCAGCCGGGGATCAGACCGAAGTGACCAAGGGTGCTGGGGCAGGCCAAGGTCACAAGCAGCTGGCCGAGGTCAGGCTGGGGTCACTTCAGGACGCGGGCCCAGTTTGGACAGCCAGCCCCAAGAGTCGTCCTGGGCGCGCCATCCGGGAAAGCCCCCGCCCCGCCACGAAAGCGAGCCCGTCCAGCCGACCCCCACGCTCGGGACGGGGCGCCCTGCCGTTCGGAGAGGTAGGCGCCCAGCTCCGATCCCACACGCTCAAGGTCAGCAGGCAGCTGGGAGCGGGGGCGCTGGGTGGCCGGGACCGCTTCCGCGCTGCCCTGGCCCGCGCCCGCAGCCTCCCCGCCGTGACCTTCACGGGGATGCGGGGCCGCTCGGAGGCCGAGGCCCGGCCCAGCGCTCACCTGAGGTGTCCGTAGCGGGAGCTGCCCGGGCCGCGCGCTGCACAGCAGACCCCGGGCACGCGCGCCCGGGAGCCCCGCGCCCCGCGGGCCCAACACTACCCCGCGAAGCGAAACCGCAGCTGCCGCCATCTTGGCCTCCTCCGCGCGGCCGCCACTCCCGTCGGCCCCTGGGGCGCCACGAGAGTCAAAACCTCGCGACAGCCGGGGAGCGCGGGGCGGGGACGGGCGTGGGGGCGGGCCTGTCGGGTGGGCGGGGACGAAGCGTGCTGGCCCGGGTCGCGTCAGTCAGTGGCAGGGGTACCGCCTGCCTCGCCGCACTCTTCGGGTTGTCGTGGAAACTGGCGCTGGGGCGGGGCCCCGTCGCGTCTCTCTGTTGCCGTGACAGCGCCCCGCCCCGTCCGGCGTTTCCCACGCCGCCTCCAAGACCCCGACGCTCGTTTTCTCCACGTTCCCAGGCTGCGCGATGGCCGGGTGGAGGCTGCCCCTCCAGGTTGAGGACCTCCAGAGAAAGTGCGGCTTGGGGGGCAGCCCGGCGGAAGGCACGGGCGGGGGTCTCGGCCGCAGGCAGCGCCTGGCAGCAGGAGACTGGTCCCCCGGGCTGAGCGCCCTGTTTTCCTTCATTCACTTGACAAGGGTTTATTAGGGATTAGTCATGCGCAGAAACGGGTGCGGGAGCCGCGAGCGGGACGATCAAGGCTCCTCTAGAAGCTCCTCATGGCCCGACGCCTGGCGCGCGCCTGGGGTCCTAGCGCTTTGGGAAGCTGAGGCGGGAGGATCGCTTGAGCCCTGGAGGTTGAGGCTGCAGTGAGCCGAGATCGCCACTGCACTCCAGCCTGGGACACAGAGCGAGACCTTGTCCCAAAAAAGTAAGTAAATATGATCTTGTTATGTGGGAATATTTTTATTATAAAATATTTTAAAAGTAAGCAAAGATCGGGCGCGGTGGCTCACGCCTGTAATCCCAGCACTTTGGGAGGGTGGGGAGGGCAGATCTCAAGGTCAAGAGATGGAGACCATCCTGGTCAACATGGTGGAACCTTGTCTCTACTGAAAATACAAAAATTAGCCAGGCGTGGTGGTGCGCGCCTGTAGTCCCAGCTACTCTGGGAAGCTGAGGCAGGAGAATCACCTGAACCCGGGAGGTGGAGGTTGCAGTGGGTAGAGATCCAGCCACAGCACTCCAGCCTGGGTGACAGAGGGAGACTCCGTCTCAAAAAAAAAAAAAAAAAAAAAAAAAAAAAAAAAAAAAAAAAGCAAATAAACTTTAAAAACTAGGCTGGGTGCGGTGGCTCACGCCTGTAATCCCAGCACTTTGGGAGGCCGTGGTGGGCAGATCACCTGAGGTTGTGAGTTTGAGACCAGCCTGACCAACGTGGAGAAACCCTGTGTTATATGTAAAATGTTTATTTAGAAACAGAATGCTTGTTCCCTGGTACCATAAGGAAAGATCAGCATTCAGACAAAAATTCTCTCAGCAAGTCAATTTTACTTTCTGCAGAAAGGGTGCTCCTCATGGATGGAACAATGGCGAGAGCACACCTGAATAAAGGAGGGAAGCAATT